GGAAGTTCACCATTAAACAGAGTTATTTTATTAAATATAAAGTTATTTGCACCTGGTATTCTTAAGTCTGGATTGACTGGGCATAACCATGGAGAGTGAAACAGAAGACTGGGAATGGAAGGGAGAAGGTAATGCTATTGCATACCCAAAGATGCCACACTGTTGGTACCTATTCATTAGTATTAAATGTCCCCTTGCTAGGCTTTGTGCCAGGTATGGGGGATATGGCATTGTGTAGCTATCAGTCTAGCCTAGAAGACAGATAATAAGTAATTACAGAACACTGATAAGCAATGTTAAGAACAAGTTTGAGAGTAAAGTATGTGGCAGGGACCTGGAGGCTTCAGAGACTTCCCAAAGGAACTGTTTGAGCTGTGACTTGAAGTCTAAGAAATCAATGGGTGAGCATGGAAGGTGGGGTGTGAATGACTACAGACTATGAGAAAGTGTAATGTTCTTCAGGAAGTGAGACAAATTTCATTCTGCCTGGATGACTGACAGGGGACAGTAGGAGCTCTGTTGACAGTGTAAAACACACTGTTCGGACCACTTCAAAGGGGACCTCTGGGACTGTGACACAGTAAGATTTATACTGTACAAGTTAGCTGAGAACTGCAGATGCAGAGCAGAGGTTGTTGTGAGGCAGAGATCAGTCAGGGGGCTGCTGGAATAAAGTAGAAGAAGGTAATGACAGGAAGACCTGAAGGGAGGCAGAAAGATAAGAATCTTCAGAGGTTGCATCAGCAGGATTTGATGAGTGACTTGGACATGATTCATAAGTCTGTGGTTTGTAACTTTTTAGGGTAGGGTTTTCAACGAGCATTGAAACCTAGAATTTAGTCAGAGCAGACTTCATCCAAGTGTGTGTGTGTTTGTGGGGGGAGGGGTACGGGGTATGGTGGAAGCTGAAGAGGATGGCACAAGGTTGGTAGGAAGGTGAGGAAGGAGAAAATGAGGTTGGGTCGATTCTGGGTACACTAAATCAGAATGTCTATAGATCCCCCAATGGATGATTCTAGAAAGCAACTGGATACATAATTTATCAACAAAGAATCAGGGCTAAGGCTAGATATATGTGTAAGAATGATGAATATACAGTTCAATATATTCTCAAACAAAAAAAAATCCACCTTCATTTGATCAACCATAAAAATGATATCTAATTCACTCTCAAAACCAGAACAATTCAAGGAATGGTAAAGGTGGCAATGGGAATAAATAAAATTTTTTCAAGGAAAAGTACATAAAGAAACCTTAAAAATCTTAAAGACCACCAATTTCTATGGAACAGAGGAAACTTGAACATAAGAGATTGAAAAGTTGGTTTCTTCCGTGGTTTTGTTTTGGGACCACCCCCACTTGTGGTCTCTTCAAATGGTGCTCAGGAGACCATAAGGTACCAGGGATAGAACTTGTGACTCCTGCTTACAAAGCATGTACCTTGAGCACATGAAGCTATCTTAATGCAGTCCACTCAATTGATTTTTAAAATAATCTAAGGTGGGGTCAGAGCTATTGTACAATGAGTAGGAAATTTGCCTTGCATGCGAAAGACCCAGGTTCAATCCATGCATCTGTAGGTCCCTTGAGCACTGCCAGGAGTAATTCCTGACTTCAGAGCCAGGAATAATTCCTGAGCATTGCTAGGTGTGGCCCCAAAACAAAACAAAACAAAACAAAACCTAAGGTAAAAAGAATTTAAACAACCAAGGAGGAAAGATAAGCCTCTTCTGAACCTTCTGGAAACTTTAAAACCTAAAAGGAGAGTCTTTATTTCTTTTGCCATTATTGAGATTAAGCTGCACTTGTACAGACCGGAAGTGGCAGGTAAACTGTGAGGCAAGTGAGAGACAGGTAGGCCCTCATTCACCTAATCAACTAATTTCATACAGAGACTGCGAAGTTTTCTTTTTTTCTTAAAAAAGGGTACGGGGTGGGCAGCTAAACTACCACAAATTGCTAAAATCTTAATGAAATTAAATCTTAATGCCCCTAAAAATAGTACATACTATGTACTATTTTTCAAAGGCTAGATGCTAATTGCACTCCTGCCCTGGAAGGTCCTATGCTAATCCAAGCTCCATGTGCAGGTATGGCTGATAAATGAAACAGAACTAATTCCAGGAGTAAGGAATTCTGGCAATCCAGTGCTATTTCATGACTCCTGTGACAATTCTCTTACCCTAGAAAATATTTTGGATTGACTCTTCTTAGCTTTGGTATAAACCCATAAGGTCCAAATGGGCTTGGCCAGGTTCAGAATGGCCAAGAAAAACAACGCCCGAGTTTAATCTGACTGACAATTCAGAATACCATAAGGCATAAAAATTAACACTAGTTCAAGTATATTAGGGAGTTGAGTCCTTGACTCCATACATATCCCTTGTGAAAACAAACATACTCAATATTCTGTATACTGATATGCACTATTTTCATTTTTAAACTTGGTGCTATTACTAAATTAATCAAACTTTATTGCAAATTAAAAGCACATAGGGGTTGGTGCTTTGGGTCAGTAGTAGAGAGATATCTTACAAGTGGTAGGTTTGATACTTAGCACCACAAGGTTAAAACTAAAATACCTATCAACAAATACTCAGTAATCCTCTTCCATCTAAGAGTCAATCAAAAAATAAATCACCATCCAGTGAATCACTGCAGTTAAGTCAGAATGGTGTGATTCTACTTCTGAGGGTTCCCAAGTGGTGCTGGGTGGCTACTCTCAGTGGTGCTTGGAAAACCATTAAAGATTGGGAATTAAACCCACAGCACAGAGCATGCCATGTATAAGCTATCTTCCAGGCATATTTTTTTCCCTTTAAATCCATAAAGGCATCAGACGTTACCATTTTGTCAAAATTTAATAATTATTACTCAAATTTCCACTAATGTTAATTATAACAATTTGCCAAAAGTAGATATGTTCCAAGTTAGATTTTAAAAGGCTAGGAATATAATTCTGAAACCCATATGCTATTTTTAAGATTAGGACATGGTATGTACTATTTTTAGGGGCATTAAGATTTAATTTTCCAGTAGTTCTTACAGTTCAGTGGTGATAATAATTCCTAAAGTAGATAAAGATATTTATGTCCAAATTATCATCTCTCGGGTTTCACGGAAACAATTTGTGCCAATTACCTTTGAAATTACTGTCAAAAGGTAGTATTAAAAACATACTGATAATACTTGCTTCCTAACTTGTAACTATTATTATGATCATAATCACTCACCACAAAAATCCATTCCTTCTATCTCTAATAGAAGGTTCAGCTCAATGAACAACCTGTTTCTAGATTTTGAAAGCTACCATAGTCAAGTATAGAAAACCTAAAAGATAAAAAGGAAGAGGTAAAGGAGAAGAGACCCTGGGCGGTCCCTCAGTTCTGCGTGCTGCTTAGCAGCACATCAACAAATAAACAACAATGGACAGCAATTATCTGAACCTAGGTAAATATAACAGCCCAAATTCTTTGTAAACACTGTCTTAGATTCTGTCTGGAAATCAACACTGTTCTAATTAACAGTATGAGAAGAGCCTAATAGCAATAAATCTGTTTAACAGTATTTACTTAGCCAATATATTTTTTCAAGAATCTTAAAATCACCTAGCATTAATCATAATTCAGTAATTGAGAGGTAGGTATTAAGGTAAACTGTGAAGACCAACAACAGAAATTATGAGTAGGTGCTACTGAATAATTCTTGATGGCTCTAAGCCTGCTGATATACATAGCTCTGAGCATATGAAAAGGAATGTTACATACCCTTCTCCCACAAACATAAATGTGTACATAAGAACTCAAGTTTAAGAGGTTAGTATTTTTCTTACTACATTTATTTTTTTACTTTATATCATTTTTATTTTTACTTTACACGTTATATTTCTTATTTATATTTTTAGTTTTTATTGATTTGCTTTATTAAAGTTTGATTTTTAAAAGAAACTGTTTATTAATGATCTGACTAAGGAATTTATAATGACAGTATTTTAGGTATCATATATACCAATTTTAGTATCATATATACCAATTATTTGAGTCAGTTTTTCATCTGTGATAAACAAAGAATTTATGCTGTTACGTACCTATCTTCCCTATGACTAAGAGCTGAATTTGTAAAGATGGGTACCTCAGAAAAAAGTCCAACCTGTAGTCATGAGTATTTTTGAGTATTTATATCAAGTTAAAGACTCTAGAATAGTATTGAACTCCTGTTCTTAGCTTCATTAGCACCATCCTCCACATGAGTTAACCTTGTTCAAACTGTTGGATAGGACAATGGTAACTAAAGCAACAGAAACCAAAAAAGGCTATATTCCATCGTCCTAATAGTTCACAGACATGTATGTAAATAACGGTTTAAATTCCACCTCCTAAAAACTTCTTAAATAACTCAACTTTCAACAACAAAAGTGCAATTACCTAAAAATATTCCCATCAAAAGACTTAAGGAAATAATGACTGTAATTGATGTTCACTGTGTAGAATAACACAAAATAGAACTCAGTGAAAGATGACATTTTTAAAGCAGGAGAGATGGTTGCTTGGGATTCACATCAGTAGCTGCTAATTGAGTAAATACTGAAGATTTACATTCAAGAGAATGGAGGATCGCTACAGAGAAATTTGATTACTAAAAATCCTTGCTCATAGGCTTCTCATACACATTAAAAAGCAAATGTACAAACCATTAAAGTATTATTTAAACCCAAATTACTTTCAAGACAAGTCAGATATACAACTTCTTAGACATTCTAAAAGAAAGTTCACTAATATTAAATATGTATTAAGAGAAATTAAAAAAAAAACACCAAACCTCATAGAGTCAACTGGTATTTCATACCAACCAGTGGAAGAGGTAGTAAAGTGGTAGAAGTTAAAATAGAAGGTCAGTACTAACTGTAAACATTTCTAAAGCACAATATAGAATTCTTTTAAAAATATATTTAGTGAAAAAGAATTAGAATGCATATAAAATCAGAATAAAAACAAAAAATTATAGAAATATTTAGTGAATTTACTCAAATGAAAGAAAAACAATACAGAACTGAAAATATAAGAAATACATATACAATAAACAGTAACATAAATTAGCCAACTCTGCAGATATTTCCAGTTAAACATTCATACAAATACATATCACCATTTTCTTTAATAAAGGAGTAGCACATACATACATGACATGATGATTCTGGCAAAAAAAAAAATCAGAGATACTAAAAATATTCTCAAGTTTTAAAATGGCGTGTAATAGTTTTAACAACATTCTCCATGAATGGAAACCCCTGACTTAATTCCATGATTTTATCATGCCAGAAGCACAGCTGGTTTTCTTTTCTTTTTTGAAACAAATATTGGTATCATACGCATTGGCTTACTAATAATTAAGGCATTTTGTATACACAGTTTTTCAGTTTGAACAAAAGTTTTAGTATTATTTGTTACGATGTTTTAAACTCTCAAAGTCTTTTCAACATCAGAAAATAGCTGCATATGTTTAAGTGTTTTTTTTTTTAATTATTAAACACATTCTTGAAAAGATGATTGGTCTTGTGGTTCCTAGTAGCAAGCCCTGTCTTATTTTTTTCACATAGTATAAATTATACTCGTAAGTAGGATTGCATTAAGACCCAGTAGTTCTTAAACAGGTAACCAAATAAACATACAAATCCCAAATGCAGCAAGGTGAACAATCTTCATAGTGCACTTTCACCTCACAGAAACTTTAGCTGCTCCTTTCTGATACTTTTCCACTTCAATGTGAAGTAGATTGTTAGGGTTTTGTTAGTGGTTTCATTATGTAGCTTCTTAAAGAAAAGAATCATTTTATTTCTTCAACAGTTCACAGTTCTCAAATGAGACTCTTTTTGAAAATCATGCGGTCCAGGGACGTTCTGAGTAAGGAAATGCTCTTTAGCAGAAGTCTATCAATGCAATTGTAATAAATATGCATCTACATCCTTGGAGAATAAAACAAAAACAACTCATTAGGCATTACAGTAAACACACATATACAACCTATTTTCTTCTATGTCACTTGATTTGCCTTTGTTTTTCTCTGCAACTTTCTGATGGTAAAAGGCATGTCTTAATTCAATTTTTTTTAATCAGCATTGGTTTAGCACAGGGTGTGGATGTAGCAAATATTCAATAAATTTCTGTAAATGACGAGTTAACTTTTTGGCACTTGTGGTAAAAATAACTACTTTTATAGGAAAGCAGGATCATTAAACCATTCAGAGCAATTCCCTCAGTGCTGTATAAATTTTAGGCCAACTTAATCAAAATCTCTCTGATGTCTAGTCTCAAATTAAAATCGATGGCTTAATATTATAAAAAGAGGTTTCACCACAGCTTGATAAATTTCTTAGAACTTCTAACCACTTAATTTGGTCTTCAATATTAAATACAGTGTCCTAAGAGTATGTTTACAATAAAGACATTTCCCTATATAAAAATTACAACCAGGTGCAGAAGAGAGGATAGAGTTATGTAAGGCACATGCCTTACATGCACCCAATCCTGATTAGCTCTCAATAGCAAGTGTAACTCTGGAAGTTCCTGAGCACTGCTGTGGTGACCAGGGTAATCTCCAGCACCGAAGGGTCTTCTCATTGAGCCACCAGCTGGTTTGCTGAAAACTGCCTCAAGAGGCACCCGAGCAACACCCAACTGCACAGCAGGGAATTGAATCTGGGTCAGCCGCATGCAAGGCAAAAGCCCTACCTGCCGAACTATTGCTCCAGCCCCAAGCAAATAATTATTTGGGAAATCATTCATATTATAAATGAGAGCCCATTCAATTAAATTAAAAGCAAAATGTCGGGGTCAGAACAATAGTACAGCGGGTAGGGCATTTGCCTTGCACATGGTTACCTGAATTCGATCCCTGGCCTCCCATATAGTATCCCAAGCACTGCCAGAAGTGTTTCCTGAGTGCAGAATCAGGAGTAACTCCTGAGCAACGCTGGGTGTGGCCAAAAGAAAAAAAGTGAATAACTATTTGGGTCATAACCAACAGTGCTCAGGGGCTACTTCTGGCTCAGTACTTGGTACTTGAGAAACCATGCAGTGCTGGGGCATGGAACCTGAGCCTCATGCATGCAAAGCATGTGTTTCAGCTCTCTAAGCTATCTTTCCAGCCCTAAAAATAAAAATCTCTATGCTAAGAATAATTCCTCAGTAACACTACCAAGAATGTCAGGCCTTTCCAGAGCAAGAGGACTTTTTATTTTATTTTATTTTTAATTTTTATTAGTGAAACACCATGAGGGACAGCTGTAGACTTACAAATTTATGTGCCTGGGTTTTGATTATACAATGATCAAGTACCCATCCCTCCACCAGTGCCCATTTTCCACCACCACTGATCCCAGTATCCCTCCCACTCCCCAAACCCCATTCCACCCTGCCTCTGTAGCAGGGCATTCTCTGTTCTCTCTCTCCTTTTGGGTGCTGTAGTTTACATTGAGTGGCAATCATGTTCGGTCTATAGTTCACTTTCAGCATGCATCTCCTAAGACGACTTTTAATTATAAAACTTACATCAAGAATGCTACAGAAGGGAATGGAAAGATAGTACAGCAAGGTAGGGAGCTTGCCTTGGATGCAGCCAACACAGGTTTGATCCCTGGCTCTGCCAGGAGTGATTCCTGACTGCAGAGCCAGAAGTAACCCCTGAACACTCCAGTTGTGGCCCAAACACTGCACTGCACTGCACTGCACTGCACTGTCCTCCCGTTGTTCATCAACTTGGTCGAGCGGGCCCAGTAACGTCTCCATTGTGAGACTTGTTGTTACTGTGTTTGGCATATCGAATACGCCATGGGGAGCTTGTCAGGCTTCGCCATGTGGGTGAGATACTCTCGGTAGCTTGCCGGGTTCTCCGAGAGAGGTGGAGGAATCGAACCTGGGCCGACCGGGTCAGCCATGTGCAAGGAAAATGCCCTACCAACTGTGCTATTGCTCCAGCCTGGCCCAAACACACTTAAAAAAAAAAAAAACCCTACAGAATAAAATTATATACAATGGTTAAGGTTAGGGTATTTCACATAACTGTAAAAAGCTGACATCTATGAAGCCAATTTTAAAATGCAGGTGAAGAGCTATCATAGAAAAATTACCTTTCTTATTTGAACTAAAGACCTAAGCTAAAGAACTTAGGAATGAAACAAAAAGTAACTTTTTAAGAAATCAACAAGCAAATTTATTTTTTTTGGCTTTTTGGGTCACACCCAGCAATGCACAGGGGTTACTCCTGGCTCATGTACTCATGAATTATTCCTGGTAGTGCTCTGGGGGCCGTATGGGATGCTGGGAATTGAATCTGGGTAAGCCGCATGCAAGGCAAAAGCCCTACCTGCCGAACTATTGCTCCAACCCCAAGCAAATAATTATTTGGGAAATCATTCATATTATAAATGAGAACTGATAACAGACTTTCAACTGGAGGACAGGATCAGTTTCCTTTCATCTTTTCTGGAGCACTATCCTCCCGTTGTTCATCGATTTGCTTGAGCGGGCCCAGTAACGTCTCCATCGTTGTGAGACTTGTTGTTACTGTATTTGGCATATCGAATACATCACAGGTAGCTTGCCGGCTCTGCTGTGAGAGCGAGATAGTCTCGGTAGCTTGCCAGGCTCTCCGAGAGGGGTGGAGAAATCGAACTTGGGCCAGTCTGGCCAGCCGTGTGCAAGGCAAACGCCCTACCACTGTGCTATCACCAACTACGTATAGCCCAGAATTGTTTAAGGCTGTTTGCTAATCATGTTAAATAATTGTTCAACTTTACTGTAATCACTAACCTCCTCATCTTTTAATTCCATAAAATCCCCAGTCATACTCTTTGGAACAAGTTTTAGGTTTTCTACTTGAATCTACATATCCCAAATTGGAATTGTTTGATCCTAAATAAATACATTTTTACCTTAAGTCTCCTAAGTTAAAACATAATTGTTTCGCCCCTGCCGAGACCATGAGTTTCCCCACAAACAGGTCTCTGGTACGGCCATGGCCCCAGAGGCACACGGACCTAATTCGGAACCTAGCAGCTTCTGGCAGAAATGTGAATGGACTATACATTAAGCTATGGCACCATGCCACCCCTGGGAGGGAAAAGGTGTCTCTGTCTCTTCTGCCATTTTTGCCCCCGGCGGCATGGTGGTCGCTGCCTCAGAGCTTATTGGACAGCCAGGTATGAGCCGGCGGTGATGGGGGAACTACAAGCTCATGGGATGGGGGGGTGGAACCGGCATGTCCTTTTTGCCCTGCTGAGACCACGAGTTGCCCCCCCACCATGAGTGGCTCTCTGGCACGGCCATGGACCCAGAGGCACACAAACCAATCTCGGACTATTCAGCTTTTGGCAGAAATCCCTCCAGACTTAATTAGTAAAATATCAGAAATCCAAAGTCATATGGCCTTCATGACCAGCAATAGAAAACAAATTATTTCACGATGCCTTTTCAGCAGGTTTGTTTGTGGGGGGAAAATTCCAAATAATAGTGGTGCATCTTTTGTCTAAATAATGAATGCAATCAAAGAAGAGAGAGAGTTAAGTGGAAATCATCTGCCTCACAGGCACAGGGAGCAGTGGAATGGGAGGTATATTGGGGTTCTTGGTGGTGGAAAATATGCACTGGTGAAGGGATGGGTGTTTGATCATTGTTTGACCGAGACTTAAACCTGAAAGCTTTGTAACTGTTTTCACGGTGATTCAATAAATAAATTTTTAAAAAAACCTGTTTATTTGAAAGTATCCAGGAAGAATTTTATAAGTATATTACACAATTTTAATTAATTTAAAAATAAAAACATTATTAGAAGAGAGTGCAGGGCTTTAGGGCATGTGACTTACACATGACTGACTTGAAATTAAACCCCTAGCACCGCATGTGCCCCCCTGAGAATCACCAAGAGTGATCCCTGAGCAGAGTCAGGTGTGGCCCAAATCTCTTCATAAATACAATTATTTAATTTTTTTCATATTTATAGCTGATGTCTATTTATGATAGCCATATGATCAGTGAAAGGGTAATTTAATTCTTATGCGATTATATATATTTTAACCAATAGTATTTTCTAGACTTTATTAAAATCTAAACTAGTAAAGATCCTCTTCCTTTAAAAGTGAAAAGCAAATAAATATATCAATAAAGATAAATCAAATTCACACTATGATTTGAACAATTTATTTTCCCCAAAATCAAGACATCAGCAAAAGCCTGGTAAAAATTTATACCCTCATACCATTCATACCATTTGTGTTTTGAGTATCTGTCTTTTCAGACACTCTGACAGAGTGTCACTGTCTCTAGATGCCTTCTTTACCTGAATTCTTTTTTTCAAATATATTTTTTTAATTTGAACTAAATCACTAGCCTCTAGCACATTATTTCTTTTGCTGTATTTGGAAGACATATGGTGGCTAATTCTGTGTCATATCCACTGGACAATAAACATTTTAAAATATGGAATCAATGTTTTTTTTACACCAAATTACAATACTGATGAACTCCTTTTTCTACAGATTACAATGAGCTCCTTTGTAATAAAATCTTTCTAATTAATTGCGTTGGGGGTTTGGGCCACATTGCCAGTGTCAGGGAACTATCTTAGTGCACAGGAGACTGAATCAGGTCCAGCAGCATGCAAAGGGAAATGCCTTACTATCTCCCTGTATTCTTTCTTCATTCTTAAATTATTTCTATTTATTAATTAAATTTAAGTATAAATTTTTCCTACATACCAGTCTTAAAATAATTCATTTATAAACTCAACTTTTGAAGTTTAAATACAGATTACCTTAGCTATATTACCAGTATATCCTGGAACCAAAGTGAGATGGTTCTCCTGTTCCCACAATCCACTTAATTGTTGTTTTAAAATCTGAATATTACTAGGAGAGAAAAACAGGAAAAATAAAAATGTAAACATACTATGGTATGAACTTTAGAAGTAAATATTAAAACAGCTTAAGATTTTTCAAGTTTTTTATGAAGAGAAAATTATACTACTTATAAGCAAAGCTCTAAAAACATACATATGTCAATCACAAAAAATTAAGTTACTTATTAAAGCAGTTAAAATCCAAACCAAACCAAACCAAACCAGCTAGGCATTAGGAGCAACTCAACAACCAGTTCTTTTCTTTTTCTTTTCTTTTTTTTTTTTTTTTTTGCTTTTTGGGTCACATCAGCGATGCTCAGGGGTTACTCCTGGCTTTTGCACTCAGGAATCACTCCTGGTGGTGCTCAGGGAACCATATGGGATGCTGGGAATTGAACCAGGTCGGCAGCGTGCAAGGCAAATGCCCTACCCACTGTGTTATTGCTCCAGCCCTCAATAACTTGTTCTTGTATTAAGTGAGAAATGCTGACAACCTAGAAAAAAAATCTATGTGGAAACTGGTATTACAGTTTTTGTAGCTTACAGTAATCTAGTCCATTTGGCAGAAGACCTACATATTCCAAATCAAGACAATACACAAATTATGATAATTAAAATTTTGTTTTAAGAATTGTATTCATCCAGGGGCTAAAGCCCATATAGTATAGTGGGTAAGGTGTTTGCCCTGCACATGGCTGACCTGGGTTCGATTCCCATCAGCCAATGCAGCCTCCTGAGCACTGCCAGGAGTAACTCCCAAGAGCAAAGCTAGGAATAAGCCTTGACCATCACTAGGTGTGGCCCACAAACAATAGCAATAAAAAAGAATTGTATTTATCCACAATAAACTCTCAAGTTAATGTCTAAGTAGCCAAGAACCCTGCAGAATATATTCATTCTTGGGTCCCAAAATTAATTTCACTTGGGGCTGGAGTGATAGCACAGCGGGCAGTGCGTTTGCCTAGCTTGCGGCTGACCCGGGTTTGACTCCCAGCATCCCATTTGGTCCCCTGAGCACCGCCAGGAGTAATTTCTGAGTGCAGAGCCAGGAGGAATCCCTGTGCATCACCGGGTGTGACCCAAAAAGAAAAAAAAATTTTTTTCACTTAAGATCATCTCTTTTTCTTTCTCTTACTCATTATAATGAAACTGAAAGTTAAATCACAGCTATGTTTTTTTTTTCTTTCAAAATAAAGGATAATGGGGATACCACAACAGAAATCAATGGAATTCAAAGGTTCATCAGAGACTACTTTGAAAGTCTGTATGCCACGAAACAAGAGAACCTAGAAGAAATGGATAAATTCCTGAATTCCTATAATCTCCTAAACTGAATCAAGAAGACATAGAGTACCTGAATAGACCTATCAACATCAAGGAAATTGAAACTGTAATCAACTCTTCCCAAAAACAAAAGCCCAGGTCCAGATGGGTTCACTAGCAAATTTTTCCAAACATTTAAAGAGGACCTATTGCCAGTTCTTCTCAAACTTTTCCAGGAAATTAAAAAAACAGAAACTCTCCCAAACAGTTTCTATGAAACCCCTATCTCCCTAATATCAAAAAGAAACAAAGATACCACAAAAAAAAGAAAACTACAGGCCGATATCCCTGATGAACATGGATGCGAAGATTCCAAAACAAAGGATAAAAGTTCTAGTAGAAGGCCAAGACTCAGAGACTATAAAATCCAGATCCCGGACGAGAACAGTGCAGTCTCTGCCCCCGCGCCTGGGTGTTCCTTCCCGGAGTCCCTTGGAGGGGAGCGGGTTGAGCTTTCCTCCCCGCCCCGACCAGGGCTACGGCAGCCGAAGACCTCCAGGACCAGCCACCACCATGCTGAGACCACTCTCCGCACACATGAAGGTACTGGCAGAGGGACAAAGCCACGCGGGTTCCGGGGCCGAGACCTCCAAGCCTACTCGAATTGGAGTCGAGCATCTTCCACCCAGATCCTCCAAATTCCAGTAGGCGGGGGTCACACCCACCACCTGGCCCCCTGGCGCCGTGTAATCCCATCAGCGGCCAAGACTCAGAGACTATAAAATCCAGATTCCGGAACCGCGCGGCCGCGAATTATTATCTCATTCCTACTTTGGACAAACTTGCAGGCTATCGAATGTAGCCTGCCCACAGGGCAGAGTCTGGCAAACTCCCCGTGGCCTACCAAATATGCCAAATACCAGTAACAATGATGGGTCTCATTCTCCTAAAGAGCCGTGAATATAATCTCAGGGCTAGGATGAAAGAGACGTTACTGGGGCCTGCTCGAGGCAATCGACGACTAACAGTATGATGAAATGAAATGAAAATGAAATGAATAGTATCCCACTAATCATTAATATTTTTTCTGCAAATAAAGAACAATTATTACATGCAAACAATGAGATAAAATTATCTCCTAGGTTAATCAAGCTGCTTTATTTTCTGATAAAAATTAGCAATAATCGTTTATCTTTAAGGTGTACTTACCCATCATTTATAATTTCTGTTTTTGATGATAATTCTGACCACCATCTTTTTATGACTGCCTGAAGCCAGTTCAAACCAACTATTATATATCTGAAATGACATTTTATTACAAAATTCAAATGTTTTCATACAAGAAAGCTTTACAAAAGATGGTATTTTCTCTCCTCAAAAACCACATCTCAGGAATTTTGCTCCATGACTCAGAGGCCAGCCACACATGCTAGGGGAAAAGGAAGCTCAGATAGAGAAGGGAGAACCAAATAAAGGGTGTTGGGAGGATCCTCCCAGGATGGGAGAAGCATGCTGAAAGTAGACTATAGACCAAACATGATTACCACTCAATGCCTCTCCTGCAAACCACAGGATCCAAAAGGAGAGAGAGAGAACAAAAGGGAATGCCCTGCCACAGAAGCAGGGTGGGATGGGGGGACAGGGGGTGGGAGGGATGCTGGGACCCGCGGTGGTGGAGGATAGGTGTTGGTGGAGGGATTGTTACTTGATCACTGTACAACTGAAACCCAAGCACAAAAATTTGTAAGTCTATAACTGTACTTCATGGTGTTTCACTAATAAAAAAAAAAATCTTTTTATCCCCACCCTACTGCACCCCCCCACACTTATATAACTGTATTTTTTAATAATTATTTTTTAATAATTTTGTAGGTTTGTTTTCTAAATGGACTGTTTCATGGAGCCCAAACTACTACTGGGTACTATTTACAAGGCATAAAAACTAGGAAGGTATAAGAGAAAAATGAATTGAGCTTCAGATGAGGACTTACTCTTCAAATTTGCTTTTAAGTAGTGACTTTACTAGAGGCAACAAATCTACACAGCAGCCCAGTGAGATATATTGTTTTTCTTCCTGTAAGCTAAATAAAATGTTGCATTAAAAAATATGAAGTTATAATTTGTGCTTCTTTAGACTTATTTTATTTTGAAAAAATCCTTTTTTACCTATTGGTAAGCACAGGAAGGCAATCCACCACAACACCAAGGTCTTCTATCCTGTCAGTACAAAAAGAATAGACAGCACTGTTTAGAAAGCAAATTTCCTTACTACTTTTACACGAAGGCCATAATATTGCTTTCGAGAAAGTTACTCTTTCCACAGTCTAAAATAAGAATGGTACGAGAGCTGTGAGCAGAGACAGGGCTTGCACTGTAGTGGCAGGGATGGAGGGCAGGTAAGGTTGGGGGAAGAGAAGGCAAAGACAAGAAATAAGAAAATTAATAAAGCATATTGATGTTATTCAGAAAAAGAAAATGAGAACTTGATACTAAATGAAGAAATATGTATTTTAATGAAAGGTGGTCAAAAAAGGCATCACTATGGAAAAACTGGAGAAGAACTTATGTCTGGGAAGAGTGCTGAGTACAGGAGAAAGTCAATATTTAATATTTTCACTTAAGGAAGATTTTTAAAACTTTAAGTTTTTCTCATACTGGAAACTTTTACTTACATAGGTAAAAATCTTAGTCCAAAATGTAACAGTTTTATTTAATCTAATGCTGATGGTCTTTTGTACTCTGGTTATAATTAGACTACTGATAAAACATATTTGGGGAGGTCGTAATTTCTTTTTTGGGGGGGGAGTGGCAGGGGACAAGGGTACTCCTGGCGGTACTAAGAGCTTACTTCTGGTTTAGCACTCAGGAATCACTCCTGGGGCTCAGGGGACCACATGAATTCCAGGGATTGAACCTGGGTCAGTCATATGCAAGGCAAGTGCTCTATCTGCTGTACTATCCACCCCAGTAAGTGTTTTGTTTTGTTTTTGTTTTGGGGGCCACACCAGGTGTGTTCAGGGCTTACTTCTAGCTCTGTGTTCACGAATCACTCTTGGTGGGCTGAGGCACCATATGGGATGCCAGTAATCGAATCTGAGTGGGCTATATGCAAGGTGAGCACCCTACCCACTGTACTATTACTCCAGCTAGATAAATCTATTTTAAAACCATGTTATCTTACTGAAATTAAATAAAATTAAATTTAATTTTAGCCAGAAATAACAAAGAAACACTCTGGATCGCATGTTAGGAATTACTTTTATTGAACACTGAAGATTATTCTTACCTCACCAAATAAGCTACAAGTTCACTTATACTTCTCTTTCTCCAGAAAGTTAAAGCTACATTCAATCTCAAATTCCTGCTGAATAAAACTTGTGCCATTGTTTCATGGTCCTGAGAAACCTGAAAGGTAATAACCTAATCTGTTAAAATAACAACAACAAAAAATCATATAAAATCTTTAACTGAATTATTCTATAGACATTTCAAAATTATGCAGAAGTGACTCTTTTTAGAAGCTGACAAAAAAAATATTGCAAACAAACATAGTTAAGTAATGATAAAGACCTATTTATGATATATCAGGGGAATCACAAGAAGTTCTGTGACATGTATTTAAATTCATTTATTCATTCCTTTCCCCCCATATTACATATACTCTTGTAAAAAAAAAAGTTTAAATGCAGAATTACATAAAAAGTGATTCCTTTCAAATATCCTAAAATACATTTATTAACACCCTCCAAAATAATCAGTTAACAAACAGCTATGCATCTTTCCAAAGCATTTTCTAGAAAAAGACAAATTAGGTACATATACAATTAAAATATTATTATATATATTTTCAAAAATATTATTATATACATTTTCAAACTTTGCATTTTTACTTATGTATTCCAAATATTTCTATGTCAAAACTGGTCAACCTGACTATAAAATTACATGTATCCTTTCCTTATCATGCTTTATGTACCATGATTTTTTTTGAAATATAAAAATAATAATTTTAATGTAATTAAAAAGCCATGATTTAAAAAGTTATGAAGAGTTGAGTTTTGTTAATTATGAGATCCAGTCCTTGAGTTCTCGTATGGGGTAGAGAATATATAGTTCAAGTGATCAAACCCAGATCAGTGACATGCAAGGCAAATGCCCTACTTGCTATACTATTTTTCTAGCTTTCTTTATATTTTTATAGATCAGCAGTGGTTGAAGCGATAGCACAGTGGGTAGGGCATTTGCCTTGCACGCAGCCAACCTGGCCGACCCAGGTTCAATTCCTCTGCCCCTCTCGGAGAGCCTGGCAAGCTACCGAGAGTATCTTGCCCACACAGCAAAGCCTGGCAAGCTACCCATGATGTCTTCAATATGCCAAACACAGTAACAAGTGTCCCAATGGTGACGTTACTGGGCCCACTTGAGCAAATTGATGAATAACGGGAGGACAGTGACAGTGATACTCAGCAGTGCTACAAGCTCTGGGTCACTGCTGGTGATTCTCAGTCTAGCTATGTGGGCCTCTAAGTTCAATGCCTGGGCTGCATTCCTCTAGGGTCACCAGGGCTATACTTTGAACTACTTGATGGGGAGCAGGGGAGAATGGAACACATGTGGTGCCAGGGATGAAACTCATGCCCTCACACACGCTGGACATATGCATATTCTCTACCAAACGCAGCTTATTTCCTGACACAGTTTTTTGTTTGTTTGTTTCTTTTTGCTGTTTTTGTTTTGAGGCCACAACCAGTGGTGCTCAGGGATCACTCCTGGCAGAGCTCAAGGGAACATATGGTTACTAGGGATGGAACCCAGGTCAGTCATGTGCAAGGCAAGTGACCTATCCACTGTACTATCACTTTGGATCCACAAATAGTTCTCTTAAGGGATCTGCTCACAGAATATCTAACCCCTACATTCAACAGAAAAATAAAACTTGGTTTGGGTTACTCACAGGTTCTTTCTTCAACAAATGTAGTTTTTAAGATTATCTGATTAATGCTGGCCTCATTATTTCTATAACTATATCAAAGTGTTTGCAGTCCTTGTTTTGAGGGCCTCCCACACCCAGCAGAGTTCAGGGGACCATATGTGGTACCGGTGCACTGCAACCCAAGTGCTTACCTCCTGAACTATCTTTTGGGTTTAAGTATTTGTGGTTTTTCACTCATCAATCTACCTACTCAGAGCTAGCTAATAAATTCAGTACACAATATTATCTATTCACAAATATCTGTGAATAAACTAAAATGTCAGTGTTTCTCCTTAACATTGATTTTAATTACTATTCAGTTCTCCAAGGCCATAATTCATTGTTACATATGGGACTTTCTCTTTTCTGACATATACATCTATGTATACTTCCTGTACTTTTCCCAACTATCTTTCTCTTTTTTTAGCTAACTTTATCTTATTCTGGGTTTTTGTTTTATTTTGTTTTTTAAACAGAAAGATTTATTAGAAAGCACACAAAAAGAAAAGTAACTCCCCAGCCAGCCAAGGAGGAACTTAGTAAAAGACAATGCTGCCTAGGATCTTTTTTTTTTTTTTATTTTTTTGGGTCACACCTGGCGATGCACAGCGGTTACTCCTGGCTAAAGCACTCAGGAATTAGTCCTGGTGGTGCTCGGGGGACCATATGGGATGTTGGGAACTGAACCCGGGTCAGCAGCATGCAAGGCAAATGCCCTACTAACTGTGCTATTGCTCAAGTCTCTAGAATCTTATTTTTACAAAAACATTTTCAATAGCAAATAGAAGTTGTTTGATTTTCTTCTAATCGTTAAAGCTTAATTAGTAACACTATTTTTTACTTTTCTTTCACCTTTTCACTTGCATGTATTATCCTAAATATGATGTTCATTTTCATTTACTTATGGGATAGGGGGTTGGGGGTAGGAGGGATACTGGGACCCGTGGGGGTGGAAAATGGGCACTGGTGGAGGGATGGGTGTTTGATCATTGTACAATTGAAACGCAAGCACAAAAATCTGTAAAACTACAACTGTACCTCATGGTGTTTCACTAACAAAAATGTAAATGATGGAGAATGGGCACTGGTGGAAGGATGGGTACTGGATTGTATAACTGAAATCCAAGCACAAAAATTTGTAAGTCTACAATGTACCACCTCATGGTGTTTCACTAATAAAAATTAAAAAAATAAATGAAACTATTTTGATCTTTTTAAAAAATATTTTATATTTATTTATTTGGGGCTGGAGCGATAGCACAGCGGTAGGGCGTTTGCCCTGCACGCAGCCAACATGGCCGACCTGAGTTTGATTCCTCCGCCCCTCTCGGAGAGCCCGGAAAGCTACCGAGAGTATCTCGCCCGCACGGCAGAGCCTGGCAAGCTACCCATGATGTATTCGATATGTCAAAAACACAGTAACAACAACGTCTCCAATGGAGACGTTACTGGGCCCGCTCGAGCAAATCGATGAACAACGGGATGACAGTGACAGATTTATTTAGTTTTTTAGGTCACATCCGGCAATGCTCAGGGGTTACTCCTGGCTCTGCACTCAGGAATCACTCCTGGCAGTGCTCAGGGAACCATATGGAATATTGGGAACTGAACCCGGGTCAGCCACGTGCAAAGCAAACGCTCTACCCACTGTGCTATCACTCCAGCCCCAAAACCATTTTGATATTTAAAGGCCCTTTTTGGGGTTTTTATTGGGAGGAGCAGTGATGTCCAGGGGTTACTTCAGGCTCTGCACTCAGGAATTACTTAGTGCTTGAAGGACCATATGGGATGCTGATGATCAAACTGAAATTGGCTATGTGAAGTGCCTTAATACTAAGTCTTCTAAATGGTATTTCAAAAAATTTTCTTCTTTCTTTCTTTCTTTTTTTTTTTTTTTGCTTCTTGGGTCACACACAGCGATGTTCAGGGGTTACTCCTGGCGGTGCTTGAAGGAACATATGGGATGCCGGGAATCGAACCCAGGTCGGCCACATACAAGGCAAACACCCTACCCACTGTGCTATCGCTCCAGTCCCTGAGGTATTTTCTTATGCAATGTTACATACTGAATATAAAAACTGTGGAAGCATGTTTGAATCACAGAGGACAATATCCATCTTTTGTTAATGCAAAGGTATCAAATAATATATATATATATATATATGTATATATAGTAAGAGAAAAGTTCTATCAAAAATGTAATTTTGGTCTGGAGTGTTACTACAGCAGGATGGGTGTCTGTCTGCATGCAGTTTACCTGGGTTCAATATCCTGCACCCCATGTGGTCTCCTGGATACAGAGTCAGGAGTAAGCCCTGAGCACCGCTAAGTGTGAGCAAACAAAATTAAAAAAAAAAAAAAAACAAATGCAAACAAAAAAAAAATGTGTTTTTATTGGGGCCAGAGACATGGCTGAAATATTTAGCCTGTGTGCTCTGCATGCTGCAGCTCCAGATTTCATCCGCAGCACACATGGACTCCCAAGAGCTGAGCAGGAGCAGCTGCTAACCACAGCTGGGCATGACCCAGACACCAGGCCAAGCAAAAATAATACTTACAAATCTTGAGATTATTATTTTTTCCTTCAGGTTTGTTTTTTTCACAGAACATACCATAATGTGTAATAAGGATTATCATCATAAATGTGTAAGTATTTGTGTTTCATTTCATCAAGCTGTTCTTTCAAATAAACATTTTTATTGTTTTATTTGTTTATTCTGGAAGCAGGGTTGCAAGGCTTAGTCCATGTACTCTCTCTTCTGTCCTCAAATAAATGACTTTTCTGAAGTATGGCTGCAAACCACAAAACTCATTTCCTAAATGTATATCACCTCGCCCCCAAATTCCCTTGAGTCTGCTAAACAACTAATTTTGCCTGAGCCAGAGGAGCAGGATACCTAAGCAGGTATACATAGCAGGCTTGCCTAAACAACACTTCTAATGGACAATTCTGAAAATCCAGTAAAATCTTCCTTTGGCAGTCTACTTCACAGGCAACTTTCTTCTATTTTCCTTCCTTTAAATCTCTACTGCGCAACATGTCGTCACTGTCACTGTCCTCTCGTTGTTCATCGATTTACTCGAGCGGGCCCAGTAACGTCTCCATTTTGAGACTTGTTACTGTGTTTGGCATATTGAATAATCTCAGTAGCTTGCCGGGCTCTCCGAGAGGGGTGGAGGAATCGAACCTGGCTCAGTCGGACTGGCTGCGTGCAAGGCAAATGCCCTACCGCTGTGCTATCGCTCCAGCCCATTATGCATATTTACAGCAGCTATCAATTATGTCCTTCCAGCTCAGATAATAGACTAACACAGAAATGGAATTCTGGTTCAAATCTGGCAAGTTCAGAAAATAGTGTCAGGGATCCACAATCTTTCAAATACGCCTAAATTTGGTAGGTGGATAACAGACTGTGACAAAGGATAAAAGCAATAGTATCATAAGAATAAAATTAAGCTTATCATACAAACTTACCTCAGAAAAAAAAGTACTATATTTCGATGATGGGTTTTCTGTCTGTGAAGAACCAGAATCACTGGCACTAACCAAATATGTTCGACAATCGGGGCGTAATTTTTCAGGCAGGTGGCCTGCACAAGCCAGTTCATTTTCTTTATTTGCCATGTCACAGTCCCCACTTTTGGGGGACTGTTTTTTCCTGTCACAAGGATGTGGAAAAGGATGATGAACTTTTTTTCTGCGATAAATCACCTTAAGTAGTTTATCCGGACTTTTCACAGCTTGTCCAACTGTTCTGTAAAAATAATTTAGTACCATGTGAAAACGCTCAAAGCATAAGCACAAAGATTTAATAGGCCACATTTTATGGCCACAAGTCACTGAAATGAAAAGGGATTTTAAAAGTCTAACTTCAGGGTGGGGCAGACAGCTCAAAAAGCTGGAGCAAATGTTTTGCATGCTGGAGCCCAAGACTGCATGATCCCTAAGCACTGGCATGGAGTAATCCCAGGACATTACTGGGGAAAACACACAGAAACACGTCCAAAAAAAAACCCTTAGTTTTTAATCTAAAGAGAAAAACAAAAGGGAAACTACTGGTGGTTTGTAAACCATTCAGAAAATAATTTAAAAAAAAAAGATGTTTACGCCAAATGAAGATTTTCAAAAAGCATACTGACTAGATGCTTTTAATGTGAAATATTAAAAGCCAGAGTAAGAAAATTATAACAATTTCTAATAAACTAATCTTTCTCTAACAAAATGATACAACAATTATGTAGGCTTGAATATTTAAATGTTTATTTCGATTAAAGTATTATAATTTAGGAAAGAAGTTATCAAATGTTTTGGACTCAGAGCCAATAGTATCTTATTTCAGAGATAATAGTATCTTATTAATTTTTGGGAGGGGAGGGGCTCATACCCAATAGTGTGGGAGCCAACCCAGGCAGTACAGAAGGACCATGTAGTGTCAGCAATCGAACACAGGATTTCTGCATGCAAAGCATGTGGTTCATTCCTTTGAGCCATCTCATTAGTCAAGGATGCTTAATACTCTTAAAATCCTTATGCTTCAAAAACAATTGTTTTGGATCTGTTTTGGGGCCACAACCCATATGTAGTAGGAGGTTATTTCCAGTACATTGTACAGGGATGGCTGCTGATGATGCCTGTTGCAAACCACATGATACTGGAGATCAAATCTAAGCCTTCTGCACACAAAGCACATATACTAACCCTTTGAGCTACCTCCCTGGTCTTTCTAAACAAATCTAGGGGTAGGGCTTTGGGCCATACCTGGCGGTACTTGGGGGAACCATATATAGTGTAGGGAGCAAACCAGGTAGGCTAAGTACCTTATCTCCTATACTATCTAGGCAATATTTATTACATGTATGCAATTATTTATTTTTGGTGAGGCCCACACCTAGTGGTGCTCAGGGCTTAATCCTGGCTCTGAGCTCAAGGATCACTCCTGGCAGAACTCAGGAGACCATATGGGAGCTGGGAATTGAATCCAGATCAGCTGTGTGCAAGGCAAGCACTCTGCCCACTGTACTGTCTCTCTGGCCCTGTTATTTTTAAAATGATAAATACTTGACCCGGATTACAAAACTTAGAGAAGTGGGACGAGGCTGGAGAGAATGAAGAGATGGAATAGAAAATAGCTTAAGGACAGTGGTGGAGCGTATTGGGCACTCTGGTAAAGATTATGTGTGGTAACTAAACACAAAGCATAAAACATCGACACTATTGTAATCTTACTACCTCAACTATAATAATAATTTTAAAAAATAAGATAATAAAAATAAGATAATAAAAATAAGATTTTAAAATAAGATAATAAAAACAAATCTACAGGGTCTTTTACACTCATCCCGAATTTTTGAAAGCAAAATATATAAATATATAAATATAAATATATAAACATATGCAGATGTATGTATATATATATAAACATATGTAGATATATAGCAAAAAGGATAGTAGTATCTTACATTTTTATACAAATTCTAATATCTGATTGACAGAAAAGAGCTGGATTCTTTTATCTGCTTCTGCATTCAATCTACTGTGTATCATGTATCTATTAGCTGCTGGAAAACTCTACTGTACACTTGTAACATTCATTTAAAAACATACACGCACACCTTTGTTCACTAACATTTAGTATGACAGCAAGGAGATGGAAACAACACAGATATCTAGAGACAGAGGAGTGGATAATAAAGCTGTGGTTGATATACACAATGAAATATGATGCAGCCACAAGAAATGATGATATTGTTCAATTTGCTGCAACTTAAATGGAACTGGAAGATCATACATTAAGTGAAATAAGTCAGAAGTCAAGGACAGGACAAATAAGAGATGTTCCCACTAATTATTGTTTATAGAAACATTTGTCTAGGGAATACTGAATATCAAAGGTAGGTAAAAGATTGGCTCTAGATTACAAAAATAAAAATTCAAGGAAGGAGAGAATTGAGGGCAAAAAGCAATTAAGAGAAGACCTGGAAATAACATAGGGGCAAGCGCCAGAGGTCTCGGGTATCTCTGTGGTTGGTGTAGAGGTAAGGTAGGCAAGGTATCCCTATACAACTAAACCACTAGACCAACACCAGTGACAGCATGGGACCAAAACGACCAAATTAAAATTCAAAATCAAGGAGAGAGACGATTCGTTAAAGAAACTTATGTACTTCTACACAATGGAATACTATGCAGCTGTAAGAAAAGACGGAATCATGAAGTATGCATATAAGTGAATGGACATGGAGAGTATCATGCTAAGTGAAATTAGTCAGAAAAAGAGGGACAGACATAGAATGACTGTACCTGTTTGTGGAATACAAAATAACATAATAAGAGACCAACACCTAAGGACAGTAGAGATAAGCACCAAAAGGACTGTTCCACAGCTTGGAAGCCAGCCTCACATGCTGGGGGAAAAGGCAGCTGGGATAGAGAAGGGACCACTAAGTAAATGATGGTTGGAGGGATCGCTCAGGATGGGAGATGAGTGCTGAAAGTATAGACTATGAATCAAACATCATGGCCTTTTAGTACCTGTACTGCAAACCATAACACCCAAAAGGAAAGAGAGTGAGAGGGAATGTGCCTGCCACAGAGGCAGGGGATGGGAAGGAGTGGGGATGGCGGGAAGGATACTGGGAACACTGGTGGTAAAGGGTATTGGTGAAGGAACAGGTGCTCGATCATTGTATGAATGAATCATAATCATGAAAGTTTGTAAGTCTGTAACTGTAACTCACGGTGATTCAATAAAAAAAATAAATTCAAGAAGATGGGGGTAAGGGGGTACGAGGGAATCTGGGGCCACTGGATGGGGTCTATGGGTGGTAGGACTAGACCTAAGAATATTTTATGCCTGTAACCTATTTTAAAAACTTTATAAATCATGGTATCTTAAAAAAAAAAAGAGTAAGGAGATGAATAACAAAGGAGACAATAATTTTGAGAAGGGACCCATTTCAACAGATCTGAGAATGAATACCACTTTACCATTCTGTAGGTATAAGATACTGAACAATTTACTTCTTTAATCTTAACAGAGTCAATGATACCTATATCTATGAGAACTGTAGGATAAGAGATGGCACTCATATTTAGTATAGTACCTGGCAGAAAGAGCTACCTGACAATAAGTTAATCATTAAAATTTTAAAAAAGCGAAGAAGACTTGTTTTTCTTCTATTTTCACATGTAGCCAGCTTTTAATACTTGCTGTTTCCCCTCAATTTTAAAGAAATTCTTACCTATTTATGTAAGCAGCCAACTGTTTTGGAGATTTCTTAACCTGAAAAATAAAAATAAGTAACTGCAGCTAGCTCTTTAAATAAGCTATACCAATTGTGATTGGAATTAACAAGCCTAAAATTCAACATTTAAATGTTTCCAATTAAAGCTTTCTCTGTTCTAATGTTCTAGTCTCACTCAATGACAACATTGTATGCTGTAAGTTTTTGGGAAAGCAATTTATCTATTTTCCTATTTTTCATATCCCTACTCACAAAATACTTACAGCATGCTTAATGTAAGAACTGAATTTTAATATGGCTTAAAGGAAATGATATGTGTTAATCAGCATTGCAATTAAGAACAAAAATCAATCATCAATTCCATTTAATTTGGCTAAATCAAGCAGAATAATTAGGCTCCTACTGTTTAAAACAGATTTGACCAGAACAATTCACAAATCTTACAGCATAAACTCTGTTATGGACAGAAGGATAATTTTTCTCATAAATTCACACTGAAAATATTAAAATTCTTCCTTTACAAAGTAGGTCACTAGCAGTCAAACTTCATGAATGGGATTAGTGGCTTAAATGAAAGGCCTCATTAATTTCTCTGGCCTCGTCTATCATGTGAGGTAGAGCTAGAAGATGGACAACAATGGATCAGAAAATGGTTCCTCAACAGATACAAAATCTGGCAGGCTTGATCTGCCAAATCCTGGGCTTCTAAGCTTCCCAAACTATGAGAAAGTCTTTTGGTTTATAAATAACCAGTATGTGGTAGTTTGTTATAGCATTCTGAATAAGGTATGTCTTACCCACTACCTTGGAATTGTGGACTTACCTCCTTCATGTTCTTACTAGTGAAATTAGAGATCCTTTTTCTAGGAAGATCAATGGAATGATCCTCAATATCATAACAAAAGTTCCGTTTTTTAACATTGTGGGTTTCAGATGCCATAATCTCTTAAATACCTAAACAAAATAAAAACAGTAAACAGAAAATGTAAATAACAAAAATCCTGATCATTTCCTTTACATATGGAAATAAAACAGCTGCACACCATATAAAAGTAAGTCATAATTCTAACTTATAGACTTTTAGAAACTTCCACTGGAATAGAATAAATGTATGTTGAAGGATGGAAGTGGATTTTCACTGGAGAACTTCATATACTATTTACATGCTAGTTTTCAATGACACACACCCCCAAACTATTTGTTAACTATGCATTGTTCCTTTGGCTGGTAATGTGGGTCAGTGGTAGAGCACATGACTTACATGTCTGCAGTCCTAGGTTCAATCCCAGGCATCGGAAAAACAAAAACAAGCTGTGGCCTCACAGAAAATATGATGCATTGTTACTTCACACACAAAAAGAATAAATAACCCTGAACTAAGAACTAGGAGGAAATACAAGATAACGCACTCCACAAAATTACATTTCCTTCTATTCTCATTCCTTTTGCAAAAGTTAGGGAAGGGAGCCAGAATAAGAGTTCAGAGAATAGAACACTTGCCCTATAAGTAGCCAGCCCGGGTTTGAACTACAGCACCACATACGGTTTTCTGAGCTCAGCCAGGAGTGATATAAGTGTGCAGAGCCAAGAACAGTCCTGAGCACCACTGAGTGGGCACTGCCCCTGTTCCCCCTCTCCCGCAAAAAAAAAAAAAAAATGTTGGGAAAGGGCAGCATTTGCAGGGTCATACCTAGTGATGCTTGCAGCCTGCAGTTTGACGAATGGAACCCAAGGTCATGCATAAGCAAGGCATGTGCAATATCTCTTTATTTTTACTTTTTTATTGAATCACTTTGAGTTAGTCCCTTACAAAGCTGTTCATGATTGGATTTCAGTCATACAGTATTCCAACACCTATCCCTCCACCAGTGTACATTTCCCAGTACCAGTGTCCCCAGGTTCCCTCCCATTATCTTCCATCCCCCACCCCTGCCTACCTCTATGGAAGGTGCTTTTCTTCTCTCTCTCTCTCTCTCTCTCTCTCTCTCTCTCTCTCTCTCTCTCTTTCTCGTGGCAACCAAGTTATAGTAATATGGCATGCAATTTTTGCCAATGCAACATATCAATATCCTCTTTTTCCACATCACTAGTCATGTATTAAACTTATAAGTTATGAAATCATATTGATACAGTAGTGGTATGTAAGGTATATTACTGTGGGCAAATGTAACCACAAGAAGCCAGAGGAACCAACTTAGATTTTGTATTTGTGACTTGCTTTAAACATAATACTTAAATTTCCCTTTCACTCTTATAGCTAGTTCTGCAAAATTTTCCTCTATCTTTGAAAAATTAATCCATACTCTCTTATTACTCCAATTATATTCAAAAGGGATAAAATAGATAGTTACTCATTTACATTGCAAGAGAAAGTTCCTCACTTGCACTCTAATTTCACACAAGAAATTTATTTCAGGTGATGCCCTACACACAAGCCCAATTCTCTCAAAACATTTACCAAGCACTATTTGCCAACCCCTAGAGTTAATGTAGAGAATAAAGTAGGATTCTGTTCTAAAAACAGATTGAGAGAGACACTTGCCAGGTTGAACAAACAGGGCCTCATATTCATAAGGCATGTGCCCTACCACAGAGCCACAACTTTAGACTATAACTCAGCTGGTACTGTTACAAACTGTTACAAAGCCCAATGCAGTAACTTTTTTTGTTTTGTTTTGTTTTTGTTTGGAGCCACACCTCTTGGTGCTCAGGCCTTACTCCAGGTAGTGCTCAAGGGACCACAGATATGTCAGGGATTAAACCCAGGTCCGCTGTGTACAAGACAAGTGTACTGCCCAGTGTACTCTTTCTTGAGCCTACTGCAATGATGTTTTTTAAAAGTTCCACATTCTTCAGGGGAGGGATGGGTATTTGATCATTGTATAATCGAAACCCAAGCACAAAAAATTGTAAATCTACAACTGTACCTCATGGTGTTTCACTAAAAATAATAATAAAAAAAATCATGCATAAAAAAAAAGTTCCACATTCTTTCTTTCTTTTCTTTCTTTTTTTTTTTTTTTGGTTTCTTTTGGCCACACCCAGTGACACTCCTGGGAAACATATGTAGTGCTGGGGATCAAACTGGGGTGGGCCACATGCCAGACAATCAATTCTTATACTCTATGACCCTCCCACACATTTCTCATACACAATCCTAGAGAAGAAAAAAAAAAAAACTTTCTTAGAGAAATTTCTACACATACAGAAATGTAAAATTCTGCAAATAATTTTAAGATTTCCTGCCACTAATCCATAGACAGACCTCCCACCTGTACCCATAAGTTAAGAATTCTCAAAGACAAAACTTTAAAAGTGTTGTAATAAGCACTAACAGAGGAGAACACATGCGAGTCAGTAAGGCTTCTGACAACAGAAGTGCTGAACAAAGTCTTAAAGGACAAACGGCACACTGACAAAACAGCATGAGAAGAACTGAAAGGCATGAAGCAACATGGTTTGTTTGGCAATCTCCTAAGTAGATGCATGTGACTGGAGCTTAGGCTGAGGGTTGGCTGCCGGAGAGAGAAAAATGGGAGAAATAGGCAGAACTAGATCACAAATTATCTTTTCCAAAGATTGTTTGTAAAGGAAAGGGGACTCTGAGTTAAAGATAATGTGCTACATAACATACAGTCATTCCTACTGTTGTTTTTGAAGCCCAGGAAAGAGGGATTTTTTTTAGTTCGGATTTGGACCACACCTAACTCAGAGGATGGAAAGCTACTCCTTCCTGGCTGTTATGAGGTTGCTCCCTGCAGTGCCCCAGGGATCATGCAGTGCTAAGGATTGAATATGGGCATGCCAAGTATGTGCTCAGCCTGTTGAGCTATCTCTGCAGTACTCAATAAAGTCAGTGTTTTTTGGTTTTTAATTTTGTTTTTGTTTTGGCCATATCAGTGGTGCTCAGAGTTTACTCCTGAATCTGTACTCACTCCTGGCGAGGCTCAGGGGCCATCTAGGGTGCCAGGGTTGAACCCAAGTTGGCCGTGTGCAAGGCAAGTACCCTACTTACTGGACTATCTCTCCAGTCCCCAATAAAGTGTTTTTAGAAGCATAAAAGTTTAAGTGATGGCAACAATCTGAAAACTGCAAATGAAAAGTGATTAAAAAAAAAGTTAGAAAAGTCAAATACTAAATCAATAGTAAGATGAAATAAAGTATTTATAAAAAGCACAATCTTTTCAAAATTTTAGGCATGGGCAATACTGAGGATTTCAAAAAGTGGGGATAAAAAAGTGGAGTAAAAGCAGCTTAAAAAGAACTATAGGAACTATAGAGATAGTACAGCAGGTAGGGTGCACACAGCTGACTTATGTTCAATCCTCCACACAGCTTAAGATTCCCCAAGTATCACCAAGATTGATCTCTGAGCACACAGCCAGAAATAATCACTGTAGCACAAAATCAAAACTAAATGAAAAAAAAGTACAGAAAGGCCAGAGAGTGAGACAGCTCAGTGGGCTGGAGGAAATTTTTTTTTTTAATTTTTATTAGTGAAACACCATGAGGTACAGTTGTAGAACTTACAAATTTTTGTGCTTAGGTTTCAGTTATACAATGATCGAGTACCCATTCCTCCACCAGTGCCCATTTTCCACCACCACTGATCCCAGTATCCCTCCCACCCCCCACCTCCCCATCCCACCCTGCCTCTGTGGCAGGGCATTCCCTTTTGTTCTCTCTCTTCTTTTGGGTGCTGTGGTTTGCAAAAGAGGCATTGAGTGGCAATCATTTGAGCCCTTTAATCTCAAGGCCCCCAGGGCAATAAGCCAGGAGCAGCCCTAAGCGTGGCCCACAAAACAAAATAGAAAAAAAAAACTATAATGATTGTACATGCATTTATGACAGTCATGATTCCTAGATCCACTTTTCCATTCCAATAAAAGGCTTTTTGGTCTACGAAGACAGTTTTAACATAAGAAATGTTCATGCAAGGCCTGGAGCAATAGTACAGTGGGTAAGGCGTTTGCCTTGCATGCGGCCAACCCGGGTTCGATTCCCAGCAATCCATATGCACCGCCAGGAGTAATTGCTGAGTGCAGAGCCAGAAGTAACCCCTGTGCATCGTGGGGTGAGACCCAAAAAGCAACAACAAAAAAAAAAGTTCATGCAAATGTTCACCCCAAATGAGGTTGGGAGGAAGACCCAAGTGAAAGTGAACATTTACATCTTAAATGTTGAGATGTTTAACCTCTCTTCTACCATCTGGCCCACAGAGGTTTGCAAACAGTCTTTGCAAACACACTCTATAAAACCTTCTGGGGGAACTCTAATGAGTCCCAAAGCAAAATACATACATGTACATAAAAAAAAATGCTGATGTTAGTGGTAAAAGTCCCCTAAAGGACTGTTTGATATTTTGTCTATGAAGGCAGTTATCTGGAGTGATAGCACAGCGGGTAGGATGTTTGTTTGCCTTGCATGCAGCCAACCCGGATTCGATTCCCAGCATCCCTTATGGTCCCCTGAGCACTGTCAGGGGTAATTCCTGAGTGCAGAGCCAGGAGTAACCCCTGAGCATCGCCAGGTGTGACCAAAAAGAAAAAAAAATCAAAACTAATAGAAAAATGGGGCTGGAGTGATAGCAAAGCAATAGGACATTGGCCTTTCATAGTCCAGCCTGGATTATCCAGGTTCGATTCCTCCACCCCTCTTGGAGAGCCCAGCAAGCTACTGAGAGTATCTCGCCTGCATGGCAAAGCCTGGCAAGCTCCCCGTGACGTATTCAATATGCCAAACACAGTAACAAGTCTCATAATGGAGACGTTACTGGGCCTGCTGGAGCAAATCGATGAACAACAAGATGACAGTGCTACAGTGCTACTGCTCCCTCAGTACCCAAAAGACCAGGTAATGTCAGGGATTGAACCTTGGTCTCCTTCATGCCAAAGCATGCTGTTTCAGCCCTCTGAGGTATCTCCCGATCCCTAATTTGAATATTTTTTCCTTTC